CCCCAAAACCCCAAAACCCCAAAACCCCGCAAGGCATATAAGTTTCTAATTTCTAAATTGAGTTAATTTTCAAAATAAATTATAAGCTTATATTATTATCATAGTTATATTTCTTATTTGAATCTCATCAACGAGCATTATATTTATAAATGTCTTCAATATTAATCGTAATCACTTTCATTTTCATTCTCTTTTTGAGCATCTTCTAGCATCTCTTCGTTAAAATCTGTGAACTTTTGTCCAAACGTTAAGAAAATCTTTAGTAGAAATGGCTTTAACTTTTTGTGTAAGGGTATATCATTAGCAATAGCTATATCACAAATTCTACAGATAAAATCTAGAAATTCCACGAAATTTAACTTCAAATAATTTTGCTTGTCCAAATCATTTATTATAGTCATTTTACTCATGCAATAACAGTAAGTTACTTCTCTATCGAGGAGATTAAAATCTTTCATTAAGAAGTCAATTGCAATCTTGAGTGTAATAATTCTCTCATTCGTTCTGTTTTAAAGCTGTGTGTACAACTTTTTCAATGATGAAATATTTACGTTGAGCATATCATTAACTCCAAGAGTCCAAATCACGTTCTGTCTATACCTTTGATGTTCAAGACAGAGATTCTCATAATAAGGTTGGATATGCTCACTTATAAGCATTTACAATGATTGTGAGAAATTTTAGCACACAGCTGTATCTCTAAATTTAGCCCCTGATATTCTTATGAGCACTTCAAAAAACTCAAATCTTCTGAGTTCTTAGCTAACACTCTCATTTGTGTTACCTCCACTAGCATTTGTAGCAATGAACAATCTGTCAAATGTTGAGAGTCCAAATCTGTTATCAAACAGATTAGTGTTATTTCCAAAATTAGTAAAATCATTTAGAGTGATTGAAGGATAATTTGAATTAGCAACAATCGTTTTATTTACATTCAAAAGCAGCTCAATATTCTTAAGTAATATCTCATTACAAGCTTTCAGCTATAAAAATCAAAATTTAGATACTTATTTCTCTTACATCATCTTCTTCCTTGATAAGTCTTGTAATCTTCCATTAGTCTTAGAGATTTTCAATAATTTTTTAATAGCCTGTCTAAGTTGGTTCTACCCAATCCTTAAACAAGCTATTGTTTTTACTAAATACTCTCTACAGCTTTTCTTATTTTCTCTTCTAAAGTACATCTATAGGTTAATCAGGGAATAAATATTGTTACTTCTCTTAACATCCTCATTTCTTATCTTAACCACTGTTGAATAGTAAAACTTTTTGAGAACATCTTTTTCATCTTTAGAAACTATAAAATAGTTATGCTTTCCAGGTGGGACTATATCGCAGAAAATCCATAAAACATCAGTATCAGATAATGGTTTTCGAATCAATCTATCATAAAATGGTTTGTAGTGCAAGTACTTCTAGAACTTAAACATCCATACTTGCGAGTAATACTTCCAAAGTTCTTTGTCACTCCTCTTCTATTCTTTGTAATTTATACCTCCTGGATCTATTCGTTGCATAAGATGAACTAGCTTTTACATTTTGACAAACTTCCACTGCGTAAAAGTCCCAATAACATAATAGTTATCAACTTCTAAATCGAAAATATCCTCTTAGCTCAATCTATCAACTAGTTAGTTAAATATCTTATTAGTCTGAGTATTCTCCTTATATTCCTCAATGAACTCACTTTCTAAGGAACAAGTAACAAAGTATCTCCACTGATCACAAACCCAGCAATGATGGCATTCATACCACTGACTGTCATATTGCCAGTCTTTATTCTTAAGTTCTTTATTCAGTTCATGCTGCCCTATAATTCTCCAGATAACATATTTCTCAGTTAGATCAGACTAGAAAGAGAGATTTTACTTTTTGGCAAATTAATCCTCTCTTAGAGATTTCTAGTTGAATGCATCAATTATGACTTCACTCTTATCTTATGGTATATTATGATGGATTTATTCGTTAATGCTATTGTTTTGATAGTACTCTTACGATTTAAGAATCTTTCTAATTTTCAATTTGAGTTGATCACCCAACTCATTCCCTGAAAGATGCAGGGACATGAAAGTCATAGATTTTGAAACATTTGAAACCACTTGAAGTAGAAACTGATCTTTCAAGTTTGTATTAGAAAGGTCGAGATGTATTAGATTAGAAGAGTTCTTGATATAAGAGTTCAAAGTGTGGTTCATTAGTTTTTGGTTTTCTATACTCAGTGAGTTCCAAGATAGGTTAAGACACTAAACCTGATTTATCTTCCTTAGAAGCTCTAATAACTTTATCATCATTACTGGAGATATTTTATTCCAAGATATGTCGAGATCAATTAAATTTGGATTTGATTTCAGATAGCTCATTAGTTAAAGAGCATTGGTATCTCCCAGATCCATTGACACCAAAGATAATTTTCTAACAGGTATTCTTGCTTCAAGTTGGTTTAAGAATTCTGTGATTGGAACTTTCAGCCTGCATCTCGCAAACTTAAGCTAATTGAATTTTAGATAAGATAGCTCCTCAGCTATGTCCAATATCATATTGATCGTATTTTCCCCTAATTCATTATCAACGAAGATCATAGATATTAGCTCATTCCTAGCTCTGAGTTAGTGTAAAAAGCTAGGAAACCATTCATCATCAAGACCATTATTCTCCAAGTAAATATACTTTAGTTTATATCCATCCACATCATTGATAGTATGAGCTAGTGCTTTGCAAAGTCCAAGGTTAAGTTTAACATCTCTGAGCACCATCCTTGAAGAATTAAGCTAATGCAATATTGATATTGGAGTGATTTTTTCTTTCTTACATATCTCAAGAAATTTAAATCTTGGATCATCTTTGAATGCCTCTCTAAATTTGGGCTTGTTTGAATTTGCTAGAAGATCCATATGCTCATATTTTGCCTGCTCTGTTGTAAATTATTTCTTAAACACTTTGAGTCTCTTTGAAAGGAATGGCTTGTCCTCTTACTCGACGAAGTACTTATCAAGCTCTTCTTTGAATGTCCCATTAATTATATCTATCATTATATTCTCCTATTCCTGGTCTTTGTCATGTTCTTTGTATAAGTCATCTTCATTTATTTCCTCTTCAAACATTGGCAAGGGCATACTTTGAGCAACAATTTAATTCATCTTATTTTCATAGTCTTATTCTAGCTAGGCAATATAAGATTTGCTCTACTGCTATTCAAAATCTTATTGTATGTTTATGTGAGACATTTGAGATTCATTGTATATTTTCTTAGGAATGATGATTTTGATCTAGTTACCACTATTTTAATTATTCTAATCAGAGTTAGCACTTTCCTTCATAGTGAGAGTCTTGAATATCTAATTCTTTAGCTCGCTCGCAAAAGAGAGCTTATTCTTGTAATGAATTGGCTTAATCTAAAGAAAGCTTAGATCCTAAATGGAGGGGTTCCCAGATGTAGCTTAGGTAATTGGTGATTAAATATCCAAGTAATTGGAAGTTATGATAGGGCCGAGAATCTGGCTGTGATTCATTCTCTATTCTCTAAGTTTTTACTTGAAAACAGCCAATCGCTCTTATTAATCTTAAAGTTTTGAATAAGATAATTCTTATATCTCTGGCAAAATTTCACCATTCTATTAATTCAGCTCTACTATTGCATGGTTATTCATTTGTTCTCTTCTTAACTTTCTTTACTCTCTTCTCTGAGCTTTAGTGAATTCCTCTTTAATGGTAAAGAAGTCAGATCTACCAAGCAAGCGTAACTCTTTTTTCTTTTTTCCTTGTAATTATTGCTAAAATTTAAGCACATCTATATTTTAGCGGAATTTCTTAGAAGTTTTATCAATGTTATCAAGCATTACTTAGTTAAGCTTGTCAATTTTTTTATTGAAGATATGCTAAACTTTGTCATTTGCTGTAAATCCTTATATAATCTCTGTTTCTACAATAGGAATGTTACTAACATCTATTGCTTCTACATCCTTGAATTAACTCTATCGATTGCCATCTTGTTGGTTCAATTAGTTTGTTTGCCACTCAGTGTATTTAGGTGACTACTTGAATGGCACCAATTACACTATCGGTTTCAGTTCATTATGATTTTTACGATTTTCCCACTTAGAGGGTGTCAGGCTTTTAAGTCTTTAATTAAAGCTAAAACCATGCAGTTTCTCTTGAATCTTAACTTGTCTTGGAGGGCTTACCTACTTTGCTCTTTTCATCCAATGATTTTATGTTGACAATGGCATGATCATTGAGGGCTCAAAGTAGTCAATGGTTGAGCCTATTATACTGTTATTTTTAATGGTGGTTGTAGCAAGTCGATCGTTTACATTTGATGTTAGACCTCTCTCAGGAGTTGATTCATCATAGGTTCAGCTGGTTAGTTTTTCTAAATTGTTGAAATTTCTAGAAGTTAGCTGACTGAGTTTTACATTGTTAGGATTCGGCATTCCTATTTAAAATGATCTTTTTATTATAGATAATCCCTCTCCTCGAATATTAGTTTTACTGGTCTCTATCGATATTATATTTTGTCTTAATGGTGTGTTATTTTTAGGAAATTTAAAGGCTGCTGTGTTAATTGAGTCATTGAACAATGAAGATTAACGCTCTTATCAAGCTTAGAACCCAGCTCCAAGATTTGAAAGAGAACGCAATCTTGATCGCTAGGAGCCTGTATTAAAGTCTGAAAGGGTTTTTTAATAATCTGATATATTTTCCATTAAAATTAAAGTATTAAAATATTATAATAATAAATTTACTAAACCATGATAGATATACCACAATGCAGAATATGCTTATAGGAGCTACCTGAAGTAAATATAAGAGAAGTAGTTTAGCCTTGTTTATGCAAGGGTACAATCCAATATGTTCACTAAAAATGTTTGAAGAAGTGGCTTTTCCGTTCGAATCGAATGAAGTGCTAGGTTTGCCAGTACCAATTCCAAATAGAAACATAAAAGGAAGATTGTTCTAAAATGCTGAGGAAGCTGAATAGATTCAAGAGTATAAAGAGAATTGTTCTAAGTTTGCTATTGTATTGCGTGTTTGTTTGCTAACTCTACTTTACTGTTATGAAATTCACTCAATTATACATCGATGCCCTTCTGGTTAGTAACCTTAAGTGCTAGTAATCTTGCCCAACTTTTATCAGTACAAATACTTCTTCAACCGTATCAGAAAAAAATTCTTCTAGCTCATCAATAGCTCATCAAATCAAGTAATCGAAACTTAACCCTCATTTAATATAACAAAAGGAATAGAGTATCATTAATTCAACAACAAAAACTGCCAATTCTACTAAATATCAATCTTAATTTAGAGCGAATAAAGAAGTCGTAGCTATCTTACCAATACTACTATTCTCATTTTTTGGATTTATGATCTTTTTCATTATGCTCAAATTTGCTTAGTACATTATAGAATAAGCTGTAAAAGATATAAGATGGTGCAAAGGCCTTAGGCTAAAGAAGAATTTCAAGCAATTTAAATCTTAGATTGAACTTGGATTTAATTTGTAGGATAGTAGCAGTAGTAATAAAAATAAAGTATCATCTCTGTCATAAATGTAAATGCTAGCGGATATGAATTAGGATTCTCGAGAAATTAATGATTATTTTAAGCATTAATTTGATTGAAACTACTATTAAGAATTTTCATCTATTCTGATCTAAAGGGGTTTTGGGGTTTTGGGG